TGTGGAGAAGGAGATCCTTGAAACCCCTGTTAGAGCAGATGAGAGAACGGAATATACACTATAGATGGGGCAACCCAGAGTGTTTAATCGTATGGAAGAATGCTGTTACAGCTTATTTGAGATTTCCAGAGGACTTGAGAGACTTTTGTGATAGACTGGAATTGCATAGAACAGTGATTACTGGGTGGAAAGAAGAGGGAGAAATAGGTATTGGGGAAAGGAGGATTGGCAGACTGTTGGAGGGGAGAGGTAGGGAGGAGATAGAGGGGAGTGTTTTTTGTTTTTTTTTAATATATGTCTCTCTTTCTTCTCTCTACTTCTTCCTCCTTATGGTGTTTCTTTTGGAGATCCTTGTTTTTTTTTTTTTCTCTCTTTCTCAAACGCACCGTTAAAGTTAATAGAAATAAACAGATAGATGGAGGGTAATTGGGGGGGGGGGGTGGATGGAGGGAGAGCCATACATGGGAGGAGTTCAACCCCAAGGTTTAAATCAATGGTGGGTATAGACCCACAAATGATTAATAGGGCCTAAAAATGGGTTGGGTAGCAAAAAAGGGGGCTATTGGGTGGAGAGGGGAGGGGAGTGGGATGGGAGGGAAGTAACAGGGGAGGGAGTATTAAAGTTAACACTCTGCATAAGGAAGGGAAGCACAAAGGAATTGAGGGTGGAAAAGAGGAAATTGAGGAGAAAAAAGAAAAAAAAAAAGAGATACAAGAGTATGGAAGATCTACGGTTTATAACATATAATGTAAATGGGTTGAATTGTCCTGGGAAAAGATTTAAGCTATTCAAGGAGTTGCAACATAGAGAAGCTTCTGTGGTCTTTTTGCAGGAGACACATCTTGGGATTAAGTCAAATATTAAGTTGAATTCTAGAAACTATCCAACATGGTTTTACGCAGATTCCCCAATTAAGAGAGCTAGGGGAGTAGCAATAGGGTTTGCAAAAAACATAAGGCTTGAGCTGGAGGAAAGAGAAATAGACCCTGAGGGGAGATTTTTGTTTTTGAGAGGCAGGCTGCAAGAAATGGAATGTACAATTGCAAATATTTATTGCCCAAATAAGAGACCGGAGTTATATTTGAAGGGTGTCTTGAGGAAATTGATGGCCTTCAAAAAGGGGCGCTTGATAGTGGCAGGGGACTTGAATTTCTGTATGGATCCACAAATGGATACGACCTCTTCTGCGCAGAGAGAGGGAGGTAGGTCTCTGAGAACTTTAAAGAAGGTGATGCATGAGTGCCAAGTGGTGGATATTTGGAGAATAATACATGGAAAAGAGAGAGACTATACCTTCTTCTCTAATGCACATGAGATGTACTCGAGACTGGACTATATACTGGTGGACCATCAACTTATTGAGATGGTGGCTAAAGTAGAGATAGAGGCAATGTCTCTCTGAGACCATGCCCCTGTTACATTGAAATTAGGATGGGAGAGGCGGTTGACAGGTGGTATAGGATGGAAGTTGAATTGGTCTCTTCTCCTGGATCAAGAGATTGATCAGAAGATCAGGGAAGAGATTGAAAGATTTTTTCAGGAGAATGAGACAGGGGAAGTGTCGGTGGCTACAGTATGGGAGTCCCACAAAGCCTACATAGAGGTATTTTGATTGCGTCCAGGGCAAAAAAGAAAAGGGAAAGAAGAGAGAAATTTACTGGGCTGTTAAAAGAAATATTTGACCTGGAGCAGATACATAAAAATAGAATAACAAAAGAGACAAGACAGAAGGTAAAAAAAAAAGAAAGAAGAACTAGAGATACTGATGGAAGAGGAGAGGAGAAGAGTTTTTAATAAAGTGGCAAGTGAGAGGTATAGATGGGGAGATAGACCAGGAAAATATTTGATGAGAGCCTTGAGGAAAAAGAAAAACAGGAATTATATAGAAAAAATAAGAAACCCCAAGGGAGAAATGGTTTATTCTACTAAAGAGATCACCAAGGTGTTCAAGGAATACTATAGCAAGCTGTATAATATTACTTCCCAGGATTTAGTAAATAAAAGTGGAAATGCGAGTAGAGAAAAAAGAAGGGTATATTTAAAAAAAACGCAGGACTATCGAAGTTGAGTGAAGATTAACTGATTTCCCTTGATTTAGGAATTACACAGGAGGAAATAAAAATAGCATTAAAAAGTACCATGACGGGGAAAAGCACAGGCCCAGATGGTTATACTGTGAGGTACTATAAAAAATATAGTGAATTGTTAATACCTAAATTGAAGAAATATATGAATGCCCTGGGTGGGGAGATGGGGATGAGGAGAGAATCTTTACAGGCCCATTCAAAAGGAAGGGAAGGATGCTTCTCAGTGCTCTAGCTATAAACCAATCTCACTTTTGAACATAGACACTAAGTTATATGCAAAGGTTTTAGCAAATAGGTTGAAAGATTTAATGCCAGAATGGATCCAGGGGGACCAGGTGGGATTTGTACCAGGGAGGGAAGGTAGAGACAATGGGTTGAGAATTTGAGAAAGCTAGGAAGGGGAAAACTCCGGCGGTGGTACTTTCAATCGATGCTGAAAAGGCATTCGACAGCGTAGATTGGAGCTTCATGATGTACACTCTGGAGACTCTAGGATTGGGAGTTAGAATGAGAGAGTGGATAGGAAAATTGTATAGAGAGCCCTCCACGGTTATTTTGGTTAATGGAGAGAGGTCGGAACCTATTGGGATGTCAAATGGAACAAGACAGGGATGCCCACTGTCCCCATTGTTGTATGTATTGTCATTGGAACCTTTACTGGCAACAATTAGGAAAAATATGGACATAAAAGGAATACACATAGGAGGAATTGAACATAAAGTGGCAGCCTTTGCAGACGATCTGTTGTTCTATGTGGGAAATCCTAGGATAACACTCCCAAATCTAATGAAGAGCTTAAAGGATTATGGGGAGTTATCAAATTTGAAAATTAACCCAACAAAAACTGAGATCTTAAATGTAAACCTTCCAAATAGTGAAAAAGAAAAGCTACAAAAAGAATTCCCTTTTATATGGAAAGATAGAGAGATAAAATATCTAGGGGTTAAACTAACTGCTTCATATACGAACTTGTATAAAGCAAACTATATCTCACTTTTAAATGAGATTAAGGAGGAACTAAAGAAATTGGGAGGAGGTAACCCGTCTTGGATAGGGCGCATAAATCTGATAAAAATGGTAATTGTACCTAAAATCCTATATAAATTTCAGATGATCCCAATTAAACTTTTGGAGGTTTTTTTTAAGGTAATTAAAAAGATTTTAACAAGATACATATGGAAAAATAAAAAAACTAGAATATCTTATGATTTGTTGAGTAGAAATAAAGAGAAGGGAGGATTGGGAGTGCCAGATTTTAAAAGGTATTATAGAGCAGTAGTTCTAGCAAGAATTTATGACTGGACACACAATCCAGAGGGGAAAAGGTGGATCAAGATTGAAAGTGAATTAAGTGGAGTTAACTTGAGTAAAATCATATGGGTACCAGCGCAATATAGAGGATTTAAAAGATACCACGAGTGTTTATACATTAAATGTTTTAAAGGTTTGGTATAAACTGCACAAGTTTATGAAATGGGATTTTAATTCACAGTTAATGTCACTGAGGAACACGGAGTATTTCCCTCCAGGTAGGGAGGAGAGCACAGGAAAGTGGTTTAAAAAGGAGGATATTCAACTGAGAGATATTATGGAAGGGCAGGAATTGAGAACACTTGAGTTGAAAAAGGACAAAAGGGAACTTTTCATTAAGATAGATGAGTGGAGATATCACCAATTAAAACACTTTGTCGGGAGTCTTCCGAAACCTTTGAGATTGAGAAAGGATTGGAATTTGTTTGAGAGGTTGTTGGAATCACGTGGAGATGGGAAAAGGCACACGGCAAAAGTTTATAAGATTCTCACTGAGTTAGACACACACACAAAGCCAATGTACATAGTAAAATGGGAAAGGGATTTGGGAATAGAGATAGATGAAGACAAACAGAGAAAAATATATAGACTAACACATGAGAATGTAAGCATGAGAGAGGTGGAGGTAAACTATAAGTGTTTAACAAGATGGCACATTGCACCGAACGTTGAATATAAGATGAGTGGGAAAAATAGACTAGAGTGTTGGCGGGGTGTGGAAAGATAGGTACGTTATATCACATATGGTGGGAGTGCCCAAAGATTCAAGGTTATTGGGAGACAATGGTTCATTTAATTGGGATAATCTCTGGGATAAAGATAGGATTGGATCCAGAGTTGTGTCTATTACATAGTACAGAGTTATCAGTGAACAAATACAAGGATTCGGGTATATGGTACTATCTGATGCGGCAAAGGGTCTGATACCTAAGTTTTGGCATAGCTCAGAGGTGCCGAGAGAAGAGGATTGGGTAGAAAGAGTGAACCAGATATGTAAGATGGAGAAACTGTATTATATGCAAGAAGACAAGATGGGGTTATATTACAGGAGGTGGGGAAAATGGGAAGATTTTGTGCCCACGGTGAAATATATGAAGTAGTAGAGAGGGATATGTGAAAGTACCCCTTATTTAGGAAAAGAGGCAATGGAGAAATGCAGAGTGGGTGGTTTTATTATTAGGGCGAGGGTGGTTTTGGGGTGGGTGGGGTATTAGATAGGTGGCGGGGGGGGGGGGTAATGGGAATAAAGATAGAAAGGGATGTAACTGATGGTTTTGTATGTATATGAGAGTAATGATGAAATATGTATTTTATATGGAAAATTAATAAATATTTAAAAAAAAAAAAGAGAGAGTGAGGGACCCTGCCAAGAAAGTCAAGAGGAGGGTTAAGAAATGTCCTGTCAGGGCTCCAGGTATGACCAGAGGTGTGTGGACTGACACAGGGAAACGCAGGCTTCAGATATGGTATAAAAACAATATGATTTATTAAGACTAACAATACAAAACGCAGTGAAAAACTAAACATAAACACAGTGCAAAAAAAACCAAACCAAACCACCTACAGATAACAATACATACAATGCAAGAGTCGTCATGCAGGCCAGGTCAGTAGCAAACGGGCAAACGGAGTACCAGGAAGAGGCGGGAGAGTGGTCGGGGTCACAAGCTGGGTTCAGTAACTCACGGGCAGTGCGGTGCAGAGGGTCAGGCAGAGAATGGTCAGGGTCACAAGCCAGGGATCAAACAGGAGAAGTCAGCAGAGGTCAGGATCAGGCAGGGTCAGCAACAAGTCAGGCAGAAACAGGAACACAGGATACAAGATACAGGGGCCCATGGAAAAACACACCAAGGCCCTGACTGTGAGTCTGGCCATTCCTTAAATACAACCCCTGCAATCAGCTTCAGGTGTTTGGCTGATTGCAGGGGTGAGTCTCTGATTGCTGAGAGCACCCGCTGGCCAGCCCTGGTACTGCAGCCCACAAGGCAGGTGAGTCCCACCATTATTGGCAAGTTCATTCCTGACACGTCCCTCTCAACTACCTTAATGGCAGTTCCCGCTCCGATAAAGGTGGCAACTATTAACGTTGCCAGCCTATGGTCTGTAAGAGAGAAAGGAACAGCCTTATTTTTGCTCAGCGGGATGGAAGCTGATGTTTTCTTTTTGCAGGAGACCAGGTTGTCCAGCTTGGCCGATATACATCTGGCTAAGCGTGAGTGGAGGCGTGGGCCCTCCTACTGGTCTCTTGCGGCTGAGCCTTACAGCGGAGTTGCGGTGCTTTTTACCGGCATGGTAACGTGCCGGAGGGTAACTGAGGTAGAGATTGGAAGATGTCTGATCCTGGATGTCCTTGTGGGGGGGCAGGAGTTGCCGCTGATAAACATTTATGGGCCACAGTCCAAGTGGGACAGGAAGTGCCTCTTCACAAGGATCAAACCTTTCCTTTTTACGTCCCGGCTGGTGGTCTTTGGAGGAGATTTTAATACTATCACTAGGCCCAAGGACAAGAGGGGCTTCAATGACAGGCTGGGATATGATAGTGTTTTTGTAAATGCTATAGTCAGGGAAGCAGGTCTGGTAGACGCCTTGGTTAAGAGCAGCCCAGACAGCACTGGTTTCACTTTCAGGAGAGGAAACAGTCAGAGTAGGATAGACAGGTTTTTTTTTTGAAGGAGAACTCTGCCTTCTCGGCACCTGTGTGTCGGGCAGTGGAGTTTTCCGATCACCTTATGCTATCTGTGACTTTAAATGTTTCAGACACGCCACTGAGAGGGAAGGGCATCTGGAGAATGGATTTGTCTCTGCTGGAGGATGAGGAGGTGAGACGATCTTTCGAGGAGTTCTTTCAGGCTCAGGAGACGGTGCTGGATTTCTGCGGCAGTAAGTCTGAGTAGTGGGAGCTTGCCAAAGTGCGGATCAGCAGGTTTTTCAAGGCCATAGGTAAGAGAAGGTAGTTTTATCAATATATCGCCTACCAACGGTTGCTGAGGAAGCTTGACCGCCTTGTTTCTAGCGGTGGAGATTCGGGGGCAATCTCGGAGGAGATTCTTCTTCTCAGGAAGTACCAGTATGATCGGCGTGCTTTCTTTGGTTCTGGAGAGGGATTATGGGAAATACCACTCACCTGACCCTTTCCAGAACTGCAAAAAGAGTGCAGCGATTAAAACGGTCTCTGCTCTGAGAGATAGTACGGGGTCCCTGACAAGATCCAGGTCAGGGATTCTGGAGGTCTCCAGGTCTTTCTATGAGGACTTACTGGGTGAGAAGCGCCCCGATCGGACAAGGATGCTGAGCTTTTTGGAGTCTACGCCAGATCTGGAAAGTAATGTCCCACCGGCGGGTTTGACTTGGAAAATTACTGCAGAGGAGGTGGCCAGGGCCATTTATAGTCTAGCCGTTAAGAAGACCTCTGGGCAGGACGGTTTGACAGCTGAGTTTTTCAAAAACCTTTAAGTCCTGCCTGGCACCTCGCCTCGCAGAGGTTTACAATTGCTGTTTGGATGAGGGATCCCTCCCTCCTTCCATGAGGCAGTCTGCAGTAATTCTCTTGTAAAAGGGTAAGGATCCTTCGGCTATTGAGAACTGGCACCCCATAAGCCTCCTCAATGTCGATAGAAAGGTTCTGGCAAAGATCTTGTTCTGGCGCTTGTCGGCAGTGGCAGATGGTTTGCTTTCTCGTCAGCAGCATTGCTCGGTCCAGGGCAGGAGTACCTTCACAGCGGTGTTAGCTGTCCGGGAGGCCCAGGAGCGATGTAAGGCTGAAGGATGAGGGAATTTCTTGCTGGCGGTGGACCAGGCAAAGGCCTTTGATAGAGTCAATCATGAGTACCTCTGGCATCTCCTGGACCGGTACGGTTTGGAGGGTAGGTTCATTGGCTGGCTGAAGACGTTGTACAGGGAGGCTGAGAGCTTCATGTTGGTGAATGGCTAGGTTGGGCAGCCCTTTGGGGTCGTATCCGGGGTGCACCAGGGGTGCCGCTGAGTCCCTTGCTCTATGCCTTTGCCATCGACCCTTTCGTCAGGAGGTTAGATGGTGGGGCGGTGAGCGATGTGCCGGTGGGTGCTACTGGGGATCCGCCTCTGAGGGTTGTGGCTTATGCTGATGATGTTTCTGTTTTCATATCTGGACCGGATAAGGCGCAGGAGGTGGTTTCAGTGATGGATCAGTATGCCGAGGCATCAGGTTCCAAGGTACACCAGGATAAATGTGAATGGATGGGTAGGGAGGGTGAGAGCTTCTCACTCCCGGACACCTTCCCGGTGCCTCAGCAGAGTATCAAAGTTTTGGGCATTAATTTCGGCCCTGCTGAATACAGCAAGTTAAATTGGGAAACCAAACTGTCGGATGCCGAGGTCAAAGTGAGATGCTGGAAGGGGCTCTCCTTGAGGGAAAGGGTTGATTTGATCAAGACTTTCCTGCTCCCCGTCTTTTATATGTCAGCTTTGTTTCCTCTTGCCAGAGTCGCTCTATACGAGGGTCTACAGCTGTTTCTTCCAGATGTTATGGGGGAATCGGCTGAACCTCGTCAGGAGGGATGTGACCTACTCATCCAGGCGGGAGGGTGGCCTAGGTATGGTCAACCCGTTGGTTTGCTTCTCTCTGATGTTCCTAAAGCATAATCTTGGTAGCATGTTGGTAGAGAGACCACCTGCATGGGTAGGACTGTTCCGGATCTGGTTTGGACCCTTTCTGAGCAGTTGGGAGAGTGGCGGGCCAGTGAGAAGCCTGCGGGCCAAGCATGGTAAGCTCCCAGCTTATGTGGCCCTGTGCCTGAAGTTACTCTGGCAGTGGCATGTGACTGCAGAGGAGGCAGGTCCCTCCCCAGGAGACTCCTGGGTGAGAGGATTGTGGCGACCGCTTTCCATGCGCCGTTGGCCTTGAGAGATTTCCCAGGCCATGTTATGAGGGAGGGTCTGTGTTTGATAAATCTGGAGCGGATCCCCTTGAAGTTGAGGGACCAAGCCTGGCTCGCCTTCCAGGCTTTACGTGAGGGGCAACCTGAAGTACCGTCCTCCGGATGACCGTGGTTGTCTGAGGATGGAGTGTCAGGGTGAAGTGGAGACTATGGACCACTTCTTGCTTTGGTGCCCCTTTAACGTAGAAGTGTATCAACAGGTGGGTGGAGCTCTGGGTGTTCCTTTCCTCCATCGCATGTCTTATGCGGAGTGGGTGTATGGAGCATTTGAAGGTCGCTCGGGTTTTGATTTGGACACTCTGTTTTTAGTCAGTTTAGTGGCCCAGTACTACACATGGATGGCACGGTGTCAGGTATCCATTCGGCAGAAAATCCTCCCTGTTTAGGTGGTGGTGAGTGACATCCTGGGTGAGGTTGGGAAAATTCGGGGCCTCGAGAAAGACAGGCTGCAGCGAAGGGCTTGGATGGAGGCATGGAGGAACATCAAGCCTGTGGCTGCTGTCTGTTGATCTCGGGTGGTGGGATCTGTCCCTGGTTTCTACCTCTTTCACCCCCCTAGATTTTGCAGATAAGGTCTTTTTGATGAAAGGTTGGCAGGGGTAGGGTACTGAAGGTCTACGGGTTTCTTAATCCTTCTCTTGCAGTGTATGTGATTGTTATTGTCTTCTTAGTTATTATTGTTGTCTAGTTAGGCCATAATGGCCATATGCAGCAGTTATATTGAAATTGCATGAGTCTGTCTTTATATATGGGCCATAATGGTCCTTGATGGGCATAAAGCAATATTCTTTTTGTTTTTTTAAGAATCTGAAACAGCGGTTGCTGTTCTTTTGGCCATAAGGGCCTATGTATATAACTATGGGTGAGTTTCCCTTTCAGGAATTGGACTCCTACATTTTGGGCCGTAAAGGCTAAGTTTATTATGTTTTTTGTTCCCCAGGGACTTTGGGACTTTTTTCATTTCAGCTCATGTGTTATGTTTGTATTTATTTATATATTTATATATTTTTATATTTTTGTAAAAAAGTTAATGTTGGTTATGTATGACACAATACATATCAATAAATATTTCCATTCCTGACAGTATGAATGAGTCAGCAATGTTCCTATCCCTTAGGACCTGGGTTTCAACAGTCATGCAGTTAAACTCAACAACTAAGAAGAAGAAGATTAAGGATTACAGTATGTATGTCTGTGTACCAAGTTCTCCTGGGTGATGAGGGTCACCAGAATCCATTCTTCCTCTAGCTTATGCAGCAGTCGAGGAAGTATCTTGATTGGAGAGAACGTGTACACCTGTCTGAACACGGACCAAGGAAACTCCAGGGTATCCAGCACGAAGGTCAGGGGATTCCAAAAACCTGCCACAAAAATCACCAAATTTTTTTCGAATATGGCGGCCATTATGTCCCCATCTGGTGTTCCCCAATTTTGACAGAGTATAAGGAAAATCTCAGAAGGGACTACTCTCCTGAGACCAGTATCTTCCCTTAAACTGCAAAGAGAGCCACCCCGAAGGCCACCATAAGAACCCAAATACAAGACCTCCTACTTTCTAGCTCCCTGGTCTCCACCTCCCACGCGCAACTGCAGGACTTCTCCAGGACTTCCCCCATCCTCTGGAACTCACTACCCCAATCCATCAGACTGTCACCTACCCTCCTCACCTTTAGGCGCACCCTGAAAACTCATCTCTTCAGGGAAGCCTACCCCACCCTCATTTAACAGCCGATCTCCTCCACTCCTCCTACCACTCCATCCCCCACAGCCACTTCCCTCCTGTACCACTATCCCCTCCCGCCTAGATTGTAAGCTCGAAAGAGCAGGGCCCTTGAATCCCTCATGTTTTGTTTTGTTACTGTATTGTCTCATGTTCTGTTCCCCACTATCATGTACAGCGCTGAGCAAACCTTTTAGCGCTATATAAATACTGTATAATAAT